TGACTTGACAATGTTTGAACTATTTGGGGACATTCTCCTGTCCTTTCCAAGTCTAAAACATCACCTGTTTCTTCAACCACTCCTCACATGACATGGTCCCCTCGTACTCACCACTTGCTATGGACAGGCACCAATTTGTCTCTGACCCTGTTCCACTGTAGCACAGAAAAAGTGTCTGTTGATGTCATGTTGTCAAAGCATAATTCCAAAAATGCCTTTACTGAGTTCAAATTTTGGTTTTCAGAATCTCTGCATTCATTGTTAATTCAGATGTTCTCTCTTGAGCTCAATTAGGTTAGTCTGTTGAAGCCTTCTAAAATCTTTCTAGTTGCCCTGGCCAGATGGTCAGTTGGTTGGAGTGTCAACTGGTAGACCAAAAAAAAGGCTGCAGGTTCAATTCCCAGTCACAGCACATACCTGGGTTGTGGGTTTGATGCCCAGTCAGGGCATGTATTGGAGGCAACCGATTAATGTTTCTCTCTCACATTGATGTTTCTCTCTCTCCCTTCCCCTTGGGTGAAGATTTTAAAAAAATAATAATAAAATAAAAAATAAGATATTTCTAGTTATCAGCAACATTTGGGTCCACATAAATGAATTTCTCAGAGCGTACCACTGCCTTCCCACATGTCCAGGTCCTGGCATGCTGCCAGCCAGAGAAGCCACATGGAAAGACTCAGAGTACCCTTTCTGACCCTTCAGTGGCTCTCAAATCCACCTGCAGACTTCCAATTTCACAAAGAGAAATGTCAGTCTTACAAGTGAGACCTGAGGGACACTAAGACACACCCTATGAGAAAACTTGTCCTCATTGGCAGAAATAAAAAATAGGCCCCCACAAACTGGCTCAACAGAAGCACCAAAGCAAGGTTTAGTCTTTCACTCACCATGTCTTGCAAATACTGGACCGGGAGATTGAGAAAACAAGAGTGAATGACATAGTGACCATGTCAACAAGTACATAGTATCTCAAAAGTAAAACATAAATAACTCAAGTAAAGTGATCAGTGAGATACAAAGAGCTATGGAAGTTGAAAGAAGAGGTGGGTGTCTCTGGTTGGGTTGGGGGTGGCAGGGAAGGCAGCGGAAAGGAAGTGAAATTGGGACAACTTGGAGAAAGTAAGGGCCGACGGGATGGGAACAGTGAGAAGTGAGAACAGAATAAGTACCAACGGCTTGAGTGACCATTTGGTTGAAGCATAGTGCTTATGAATACTACTAGTGAGAAATAAAGTTTGGAAAAATAGAAAGAGCAAAGCTGAATGAGAATGCTTTCTATATCAGGGTCCATTCATCAAAGTGTATTTACACCAACTAACATGCAACCCGTCTAAAGGCACAGAGAGGTGTAAAAGAAAAAGAAAGCCCCCCAAAAATCAGAACCTAGGCCAGAAAAGAAAAAGTAAGTAAATAAACAGGGGTAAAAAGAGAAAAGCAGCCCTGGCCAGTTTGGCTCAGCAGTTGGAGCGTTGGCCTACGGACCAGAGTCATGGGTTTGGTTCCTGCTAGGGGCACGTACCAAAAAATAAAATATAAAAAATAAAACATTCCAAAGTCTACTTTAAAAAAAAGAGAGAGAGAAAAGCAAAGGCTGAGAAGGAAAGTGGATAAACATTTTGTTCCCACAAACAGGAGGCTCCTTCGCCATTTATTTCCCTTTCCCTACCCTTAAATGTACCGGTTTGCAGCTTCTCTTCCCTCCTGCACTGAATCTCTTGGCTGAGGCTTCTAACCCCTACGTGTCTTCCACCTCTGTTTCTTTTGTTAACTATTGCTTCCCCTAAACCACCCAGCCCACCCCCAGCAAAAGAGTCCATAAGACTGATCCCCAAGGAGTGTTGGCAAAAGAAAAGCATGATGTTCAGAGGACGCCCAATGTCTACAACACACCCAATAACACCCTGGGAGATCAAGTCTTCCTCATACTCACCTGAGGGAAGGGAGGGGGACGTGAAGAGGGAGCCTAGAGAGGGGAGAGTGGAGACGTAAAGCACAGCACAGGGAACACAGTCAACAATATCGTAGTCACTATGTAGGGGCCGGGGAGTATGTGAAACACTGGGGGAACCATCTGTAAATTACACAGTTGTCTAACCACTATGCTGTACACCTAAGACTAATACAGAATAATAATGAATGTAAACTGCAATTGAAAAAATTTTTAAAAAGAGGTGTGCGTGGAGGAAAGGGACTGTAGACCCTGAAGAGCCATACGATCAACCTAAAGAACTCAGGCCCTCCCGTATTTGCTCATTCATTAAACCACTCATTCACTCATTGATTCCTCTCCTTCCCTGTACCCCTCCCCTCTCTGCTGCCACACATCCAATGGCCCACAAATACAAAGCAAATTCCACCATACTGCCCTTAGGTCTCATTTACGCATTACTTCACCAGTCGCTTGTCATGAACCCAGGCCCATACATAGCATCCTGGGTTTTCCCTTTCAAAAATGCACTGCAGTGTGACTTCTCATGTGCTGACTTCTCTGCCACGTTGCAAGCTCCATGAGGGAAAGAGCGGTCTTCTTACTGCTGTATCCGTAGGACTCAGCACAGAGTCTCAACTCAGTAAATAACTGTTCGATGAATAAAGAACACACTGTGCAGAAAAGTGGTATCGCTTGAATTCCCTAGAATTCTGTAAGACACAAGACTGGTGTGTCCAAGATTGCTAACTATTCACCAAAGTCCATTTCCTCCAGCTCTTTGGGACACAGCCACACTGATTTTCCAACCTCCCTTGTCGTTAGGTGCAGATATGCCTGACTTCTGGTCCATGTGATGGGAGTGGAAGTGATTATACCACTTCCAAGCTGACCCATAAAAATCCTCCCATGCTTTGCTTGTGTGCTCTTCTTCTCCTGGCTGGCTGGACTGCAGACAAACCGCTGGGGTGACCCTAGAAGCCACATGTTGATACCTGGGACCCCATATGGAAAAGAGCCACACCGCTAATGTGTTCATAAGAGAACTAAACTTCTGTTATGTTTGAGCCATTGTACATTTAGGACTCTGTGTCACCAGAGTTAACCCATCCGACCAAGCCAGTAGTGGAGCTAAGTTGCAACTACAATTACGCTCTCCTAACCTTTATCAGCCAGCAACTGTCTTTTTCCTAAGAAATGGAGGCCATTCAGAGGCCAGTGCAATCTTTCCCGGTAATGGGTAACAAAAGTTCTGTTGGCTTGTGATCATCAGGAAAAGATAGGAACCTTGCCCGGGCTTGGGCCACAGCCACGAAATGCGCTGGGCAAATCCGGGTGATGTCAGAACACTGTTAACCTTGACCCTCTCAGAAATATAGGTCACGCCCCACAGATCTTGGACAAATGCCCTACTGCCTTCTCGAGTAGTCTGGCCCTGGCCTCATCTGTGCTTACTTTGCAAAAATGCCACAAAACACTGCCCCGTTGTTTTCAGGGGAGAAGCTGCCAAAGGCTTTTTCAAAAAGCCACAGCAACCTGCACCAGCACAGAACAACGGCCGCACCAAGGGACCCGCCTTCTGAATGAAGCATTCAGCCGACCGGACCGGGACACAACCTAACAATTCATTTCCCCATGGAAAGCACTCCTGACACTGCAGACGTGCTCGACTCTTTCTGTTGTTTCTACTTAACACTAGAGACTTCAAAGAGAACTCCTCCCCCACGGACGGAGCGTTTAGGTAATTGAGTTACATTAAGAGAATTAGTAACACGTACTGCATATAATTGCTTGTTCAACCCAGGTCTAAGAAACGATTAAAAGGGTAAATTATTGACTAACTCTTTCTTCATCACAGGTTTGTTTTGAGATCTTCCCAATATAATGGCTCTTAATCTTTTAGGGGCCATAGACCCTTTTAATAATTTTGTAAAATGTCTGACCCTTTCCCAGAAAAATATAAATGTCCACAGGTCCACACATATATCACAGCCGATTTCAGGTACACACTGGATGCTTCGTTCACCCATGATCCCAGATTCACGGACTCTCCAGGGCAGAGGGCAAGCAACCTTTCTCTCTAAAGAGCCAGATAGTAAATGCTTTTGGCTACTCGGACCGCACAGTCTCTGTCACAATTACTCAACTCGTGTTGCAAAAGTTGACCGGCCATGTTCCAACAAAACTTTTTTTGTGGACACTGAAATTTGAGTTTCACATAATTTTCACATGTCACTAAATATTATTCTTCTTTTCATTTTTTTCAGCCATTTAAAAAAAAACACGCATTCTTAGTTGGCAGTCTGACAGACCACGAAAGGTCAGCCCCAGCAGTAAGGCGTGGGTTCTGGATATACAAATATGACATCTTTATTTTCACTAACTTCTCATGGAAATGTCACAGTTCCTCCCGTTATAAGTATGGGCAGCACACCTCTGCAGTCAGCAGTAATTGTCACTTGGCCATCAGCGGAAATCACAGGTATGTTCACACCACATCAGAGAAGTTTCGAACAACACAGAAGATGGATGGTGCTCATCGCTATTTTTAAATTACAGTCGTTATGAGATCTTCTGCTATTTATTTATTTATTTGTTTGTTTGTTTGTTTGTTTATTTATTATCCTCACCCAAGGACTTTTTTGATATTTTGTTCAGATAGAGTGGGAGGGAGAGAGAGAGAGAGAGACATCGACATGAAAGGGACACATCGAGTGGTTGCCACCCACACGACCAAACCAGGGCCGGGGACAAACTGCAACCTAGGTATGTGCCCTTAGCGGGAACTGAACCCGGGGCTCTCCAGACCGCAGGCCAATGTTCTAACCTCTGAGCCAAACTGGCCAGGGCTATATCGTGCTATTTAAATGTGTTACTAAAGAAGCACATCTGTTATTATATCACAAATCTGATTTTTAATATTTTTATAACAGTATTTCGATATCTTTCCTTTCTAACACTATACATTTTATTGTATGGACTTAGAGACAGAATCCTGAGCTTTCACCAGATACCAGTGAGGTCCATGGTGCAGAAAAGGGTAAGAGAGCTGGCAAAACACAGCATCGCCTACCAGAGCGTTCACATCTTCGGTTTTATGAATGAGCATCCGTATCTCCTCCGGATCACCGCTGAAGATAGCTTGGACCAGTGGTGGCTGTAAACACAGGAGAATTTGAATTACAACTATAATTAAATACATTTGATTGCATTCAGAGGCAGATGGCTAGAAAATTTGTTCCCCAAAAGTTAATTTGACAATTATCAATGGGCAGATAAAGATGAATACGGCCCAGACCCACCCTCACTAGAAGTCTAGTGGAGGAGATATTTGCATAAAGAAATGACTGTAACACAATCTGCAGGCCATGACAGACAGTCACAGCTAACCTGAGGCTATGAGTCGCCCACAGTTGAAATTGTCCTTGACAGGCCCTTAAGTTCCCCAACATGGAAACTACCAAATCAGTGGTTTTGTGCATACAGGGCCCGCCCCCCCCTCCCCCCCGGCTGGCATTCCCCCATCTCATCGGACAATGTTCCCTGGTTCCCTCAAACAATTCCATTCCTGCAGGATGGTCATAGCCATGATGCTGGCCTCCTGAACACTTCTTTGTCAATATCTGAAAAACCTTTGAAGTCATTTCCGAACACTTCCCATGGCTTTAGCCACCAACACTGAGTATTTTAAACAAGATTACAGTCCACTGCCTATCCAAAGTACGATGGTGGGTGAGGAGCAGGAAGAAGGGCATTACTGGGCTCGTAGTAGGGTCTATGAAGTGTGAGGGAAACACAGCTAAAAGGGAAACTAGCTCTGCCCTGGCAGACAGGGTGAAGAGAGTCCAGAAAAGCTTTTGGTGCATGGGTGGACGCTCAAAAGATTCACCTTAATGAATATGAGTTTGCAAACAGGGAAGGAAGGGCATTCCAGGCAAGAAATGAGAGCATGCAAAGGTGAGAATGCACAAAGAACCTGATATGCTAGAAATGCTGCCGTCACCTGGTGGCCAGAGCTCGGGTAAAGAGGAAAAGTGGTGGGCTCCGGGGTTGGCGTGGCCTGGCCCCAAGTGGTGGAGAATCCTGTGCAAAGCCAGCTCCACCACCCGCCGGCTGCGTGCCGAGCTCGTTTCCGGGTGCAGTCTGGGGGGAGCACAATCGTTGCTGCCCAGCCCTTCAAGGACTGTTGTTGGGAACAACTGAGATAATATATGGGAAAACCCTCTGCTGCCATTTAACCCTTACACAAATAACATGTTTTCATTAAGAAATGTTTAACAATCAGAATATGGAATGTTTGGCCTTTTTTTTTTTCCTTTATTGATTTTAGAGAGAGAGAAAGTGAGAAAGAGAGAGGTAGAAATGTCGATGAGAGAGAACATCAACTGGCCGCCTCCTGCATGCACCCCAATGGGAATCGAGCCCACAACCTGGGCATGTGCCCAGGTGCATGGGTGGACGCTCAACCACTGAGCTACACGGGCTGGACTGACTTTTTTTTCCCCAAACTTTAAAAACTTTGGCAAATGTGGGTGAGGGGCACATTCAGGAAGAGGGTGTCAATGGGGGAAAAAAGAGAAACATCTGTAACAAAAATTAGTTAATAAAAAAATAAAAACCTTGGCAATTACAGACACACTCACTCACGGCTTTTGTTAATACTTTAGTCCTGGTAGAAGACAGTTTCCCAGCCCTGCCTGACCATAAGACTCACCAGAGATGCTTGTTAAAACAATATTCTCAGATCCTTCCCTGCAGATTCTGATTTAGTATATATATGTGGGATGTGGGCCTGTGAATTTGGATCTTTAATAAATGCCACTTAGTTCTTAGGAACTGGTGAGCACTGCCGGCCTTTAGCACCTGCTCAGCCTCTCCCATGCTATCCATGTGAGGACCCAAGCGCTCATTTTTCCTATAAATTTCCTTTCCTCTTTTTTACCATCCAGTTGCCTTTCTTACAGGCTTTAACAGCGTCTCTTGTTAATTGGGGGGGAAGGGGCAATATAACTACCGTCAGTGGGATAAAGAAAGATTCCTTGAGCCAAAACTATATAAAAAATGCTAAACTGGCCCTAGCCAATTTGGCTCAGCGATTAGAACATCAGCCATGGACCAAAGCGTCTTGGGTTCGATTTCCGGTCAAGGGCATGTACCCAGGTTGTAGATTCAATCTTTGATTGTGCGGTAGGCAACCAATTGATGTGTTTCTCTCGCATCAATGTTTCTCTCTCTCTCCCTTCCTTCCACTCTTTCAAAAAAAAAAGTTCAACTGCAGACATTTCAATATGTCAGAGACTTGTCCACAGTTTTCTCCTGTGCCATTCAAGTTTCCAGCAAGTGAACAGATGTATCTCTTTTTTTGCCCAAAATATTCTCTCAATTCTACCTTCCTGCCAAGGTGTATGATTCAGAAATATGTTCCAGAATCGCCAACAATTAAGTTGTGGGAACGAAGTCTTGGAGAGAATGCACGTCTTCTCCTAGCTCGGGGGCAGCTGCTCTCTGTCTGACGGAGCCCCGGCCGCCGCCCTGCCGCCTGCTGACCAAGAGTCCGCGTCATCTGCCCGTGCTGAGGACTGTATTTCACATGAAACAGACCAGACAAAAATTCAGGATTTCAACACAAATATTGAATCTTGGGTATCTGTTTCATAATTCTCTATTTGCTGTGCTCCTGGCCAAATGCTCAGGTGCACTTTTCTGCCTTTGTGAACCCTAAGAAAAAACAACAAAAAAACCCAATAACCACAGGATGACAAGCAGAGGCAGAGTCCAACAAGATACTAGTGTTAAATCAACAGTTGAGAAGTTCAGGTGCTGAGGAACAAACCCATTTCAGTAGTTAATGCACCACGGGTCAGTCACTTTAAGGAAACACATCGGTAAGGAAAGCCTCTCTCATCACTATGAGTGGAAGAAATGTGAACAGATATTCTGTTGCAATCACACTTCTCAGCAAAGACAAGGGTTCCAAGCTATGGCTGGAATGTTCCCAAGCAGAGCCACCCTGCCAAAGCTGCCAGACAAGGATGCCAGCACAGTCCTTACACAGGGAGTGGTATGGAGAGCTTCCCAAACACCTCTTGGCACAGCCCCTGAGACTGTTTTGAAGGGTATCATCAATGCACAGAATTCCCAGCAGAAGATGATGTGCACAGTTGTCTAACCCTCCAGGCCTAGCTCTGAACAGCTGCTTTGGAGAGTATTGTCAATGCATAGAATTTCCAGATTCCACTGGAAAGTAGAAACTGAGCTAAGCTGTAACTCTTCCAACACTTCAGCCACATATATACATAAATATACCCACATGTACATGCCTACGTTTGCATGGGCATCGACATTCGTGTGTACACACAGAGGTACATGTTGATTCACATGCAAATCCCTCATACTCCTGGAGGATTAGAAAAGTGCCTGTTCTCCAAAGTCTTGCTAGATGGACATCTCTAGCCCCAGTGAGGCCATGCGGCCATTGTGACGTCACTGTCTTCACAATTGTGAGTCCAAGCATTATGGGATTCCAAACCACAATGTCACAGACACACACTACGCTTGAACAGAAGCTGTGTGTCTGCACGGATGTAATTCTTAAACTAAATTACTGTGAGTCTTGAGCAAGTTAGTTTTTGTTTTGTTTTTTAATATTACAGGTGTTTCTTTTTTCCTCTATACTCCCAAATAAACCATGGCCAGAGAACACTTTGGCATTCTTTAGTTGGGATTTTAATCCGATCCTGCTATTTTATTTTTCCCAAAGTATGAGCACTTACTCTGGGAATAGATATTTGGAAAAAGATATACCTAAATACTGTCTTGATTACATAATTTTAAGAAAGAGGAACTACTCTAATTACAATATCCTTGCCCATAGGTATAAAGTACTTATACTGTCGTAATCACTAATTGGAAGGCACTGTATCTTTTGAGCTTTTGCCTTGACCTCAATAAGGCTTAGAAGCAAAACCTTACCCTAAGCCCTGGCATTTACAGGTTTTTCTTTTCGAAATTTCAAACATTCAACACCAGCACACACAAAATAGGACTGCTTTGTGTGCAACAGGGTTCAAAGCCGATCGATACAAATTCAAACAAGGGTGAAAGTTATGAAAAGCAAATAGTGGCAGAAAAAAAGAGATTCTGATGCCATGAAACCTTTGGTTATCACTCCCCAAAGAAAATTATATACAGATGATGTACAGTATGCCTAAAACCTGTATAATTTTATTAACCAATGTCACCCCAATAAATTCAATTAAAAAGATAAATTTAAACTCTTAAGAGAGATATGCAGTCATTTCAGCTTCAATTATTAGAATCTTCTTAGCAATGCTTAGCAGCTATAAACTGGAAATGATTGCCATGTGCTATGGATATTGTCACAATCCCTCACATAGACTCAGAAGGCACAAGGATACTTCTGGGCCTACTTAACCAATGGCACAGTGGGGTTCAATATTCAGATGGGACCTGTCCTGCTTCAACATCACCAACTATCCAGTCCCTACCATCTTTGCCAGGACTGTTGACAGTGTCTTCTAGAGGTGACTGTCTGCAAGGCTGATGACATTTGACGCCTCTAAGATGGAGAAATGCAGAGCAGAGAGGCCCCTTGAATTTGGCAGCCATTATAAATTATGCAGCTAACCTTGCTAACACGAGAAACTGAACATTTATCAGAAAAATACCAGTTTTTTAATGCACATCCCCTATCAGCTCATGCTATGCAACATTTCTCTATTTTAAACCCTGCCTTTGAAAACCAGTTGAGAAAATACCTGATTTCCACAAATAAGATGCTAAATCAAACACGTACTGATAGTTTTCTCAAATTTTGCAGTAGAGTTATAATTCCACTAGGGGGAGCAAGATGGTAATTTGTTACCTGGGAGATAAGAGTAAATGTTCAGGTTGTGTAATTAAAAGTAAGGTAGCTGGAGGATGCACGTTATTCGAGATATAAAAGAACGCAAGCTTCTGAGAGAGCTCTTGGTAATAAGTAAACACACACACTATTTACACTCCAAAAGAAAAAAAGATCCTATTGATCCCTGAGGATCCAAGTTGTTAGGAAAAGTATCATTTTCATCATTGCAAAACCCGATTCAATTATTCCCTCAATTCCACTTTTAAAAAGTGCATCCAACATTTTAAGAG